ATGGCCTCCAACCTAAGAGCAATGGCCTCCAACCTAAGAGCGATGGCCTCCAACCTAAGAGCGATGGCCTCCAACCTACTAGGGATGGCCTCCAACCCAATAGCGATGGCTCCTAACCTACTAGCGATGGCCCTCAACCTACTAGCGATGGCCCTCAACCCACTAGCGATGGCCTCCAACCTACTAGCGATGGCCTCCAACCTAGTAGCGATGGCCTCCAACCTAATAGCGATGGCCTCCAACCTACAAGCGCAACATTTGAAGAATTTGTAGCAGCCCATCCGCCTGGGGTCAATCTTGCCCAGAATTTTGCTTCCTCGGTGATGAGCTGACAGCGTCATCAACAGCCTTTGTGAAAACACCCTGAGCCTGTGACCAACTGGGTTCCCCTCCTTGTCGACCTGGTGAACGAGCCAATCGCAAACAGCTTCCAAATTGTGGACAAATCCAGCAGCTTGTACTATGTACACGCACGAGCACTCGTATTAGGTCGCATTGGCACTGCAATAGCAAGGTGAATTGGCATGCGCATGTATGTCATGTCCCTTGGAAGAATTGGAATGACAAAAGGTGGCGATGAAAGCAAGTGATCGCGCTAGGTAAAAATGTTCGAGCCAACCTCAAGGCGATCACGCCAACGGAAAACAGTGTTGAACCAATAAACCCGACTGCAGGACGGTTTGAATATCTCAGACCCACAAAGGAGACCCCATAGGTCTTGATGGGTCTATGGCGGATGAGGGCAATGAAGTATCTTCTGGACCACTGTAGCCAGTGAGCTTAAGCCCCTGCCCCGCTCTTTGCGCCACAAACATGTCAAGTTAGCTGCTTTCTGTACACGCAAAACGAGCAATGGTATTAAGAAAAGGATCCCTTGGACGCAGCACTGGTACACACGCACTCTCTGCTGTAACTTTCAACCCATTGATGCCATTGCTAACTAGAAAATTGATGAACATGCTTCTTTTTCTATGCAATTCTTGAAATGGAATGCCTTAGGGTGCAGTCCCTTTGGCATGGCTGAGACTTCGACCAGCACGCCGCAATTGGTGTCAAAGGTGTTTCTCATCCCGTTCTTCAAAGGATCAGGTGAGCCCTCAGTGGCAAGTGGAGGCCATCCCTATTAGGTTCAAGGCCATATTAGGTTGGAGGCCAGAGGCCATCGCTATTAGGTTGGAGACCATTGCTATTAGCTTGAGACACGAGGTGAGCCCTCGGTGGCAAGATCTTGAGACCACACCTTCTATGCCAGGCTTATGCGCTCTTTTGCAACCAAAGTGACTCTTCGCATGCGCGTGACAATGGCACGCAAGACCTTGTTCTTGGGGCCTCCGGTGCGTCCAATCACAACGACCTCAGCTAAGTCTTTTTGTTGGCCCTGCCTCCTTACTTGGGAGCAAGAACGCTACTAGGAGAAAAGGGCATCGCTACTAGGAGCAAGGACGCTACTAGGGGCTCCTGGCCTTACTACTAGGAACAAGAAGCTACTAGTAGCTCCTGGCATTACTACTAGGAACAAGAAGCTCGCTCCGTACTTAATGAAGTAGGTGCCTACTTAATCAAGTAAGGGAGAAAATAGTGTGCTCCTAGCTACTGGGATAACTCATGCACTGATGATTTGGTTCCTAGATTCTTTGGGAAGCTTAACTGTTTGCACGTGTTCTTTCAGAGTCTGCTAAGTCTTTAAGTGAAGCCATGCGCACCGTAAAGACCTCGCTCGTCGCTCAACACGCCCATGAGAGACTGACCACATCTCCAGGCTCAATTGCGCGAATATGTGGCTTGCTCCCCTTGCCGACCACTCCCATAACCTTCATCTTGTAGGCCTCACATGTGATCTGATAGTCTTACTCTCTGGATACTGGGCTTGAATCCATTTGGCAAGAAGCTTGAATTCCATCATGCATTCTTCCCTTGTGTCAAGAGAATTGAGCGGACAGTCAAACATTAGTCTGACGATGCTTGAGCTGCTCGGATGTGAAAGCTGATTGACAACCCTATCAGTTGACCTGGACAAAGGTTAAACTTATCCTATGCAGGACCCCGTGATTCTTCCAAGATACAAGCTTATTATACTATAGCAATCGCCTCCAACCTACTAGCAATGGCTTCCAAGATACAAGCTTATACTAGTATTTAGGTCCTCAATATGGAACTCTGCAAGGACCTGATAGCCCTATAACTATGAGTTTCACGTGGAGGTGGGTAGAACCAGGCACGAAGAAGGCAGGGATTGGCGAAGAAAACTTTGCGGAAAAGCAATCCCGCCGAGAGTACATAGCTTGAACGACAAGTCGGCAGATCATCCGTGGAGCAAGAAAGAGAATAAAGTGCAGGGACCATTCGCCCTGGAAACCGGAACAATGAAAATTCTGGTCGGTGTCCTGTCTCCAATCATTCAATTCTCTCTTACACTCTCTCATTCTCTCTCGTTCTTGGGCAGCTTTTTCATGTTGAATAAAAGTGACTAAGGCTTGAACACCGCTGTTGTCCTGGCACATCAACAGGAAGTCTTCAGAAGGTGCCGAGCGCAGCCTCACTGCATCATCTGCACAGGAGTAAGAAGCAACGGGCATCACTGAGGGACACACCATGCTACTGCCACCATGGCAGCGAGAGCCTGACATTTCCCAAATCTTTTGAAGAGACGAGGCCATCGCTAGTAGGTTGGAGGCCATTGCTTCTACGTTGCTTTTAGTTGTTTTTTTCGTTTTTTGTTGGATAAATCCAAACTGTGACAAGTTGTCCAAGACTTGGAGCAGAGCGAGCAACCCTCGACGAACTCCATTGCTCGTCCTGAGCTCTTAGTTTCAGCGTGCCGGCATTTCGTCAGAATGGCCCCAAAACCTTCTTATACCTACATACCAATTCTGCAGATTTCTCCGTTTCCGTGTCCCCACAATTGTTTGATGATGAGTTCTTGCGGCACTTGTGCCTTCGTTCTTCGATATCTAAGAGCCCGCGCTGGGCTTCCATGGCTTCAGCCTCAAGCGAAAAGGATGTGAAATCTTTGAAGAGATTGAAGTGATTTCTTTCGAAGCAAGTAACAAGTGCATCGCTTCTAGTAACAAGTGCCTTACTACTAGTAACAAGGTTCGCTACTAGGAACAAGGACGCTACTAGGGGCTCCTGGCCTTACTACTTGTTTGCACTTGTTTCTTTCGAAGCAAGTCACTAAGATGTGGACAAGTCACTGAGACGGGGCAGCGGCTTGAACCAACAGGCAAACAAAAGTACACGCAATAGCAATGGCCTCCAACCTAGTAGCGATGGCCCTCCAACCTAATTAATTCCAGGCTATATATATATATAGATGAAAAGCTGAAGCTATATCACCCTTCAAGCATCAAACTGCAGCAACCTACCTGTTCCAACCACTGACTTTCGGCCAACAAATTCCGCCTGAAATCACTTGAAGCACCCGCCTCCAAGGGAAAAGCATCCGCAGGCTCCCCGTGGCCTGGACGCATGAATTACACGAAAGTTTGGAGCACACTAGTCACGGTCTGGTGGACATCATTTGTTGCTGCTGCTTAATTCATCAAGTTTTCCTACCAACAGCCGGCACTAAAATCGAACAGGGTTGGCAAAGAAAACTGTTTGACAAAACCAAAACACAGGCATAAGCAAGCCTGCAAACAACAGCGGGTAAGTAAAGGCCACAAATTCCTCAGAAAGGTTGGAAGCACATGAAAACGAAAACCTTTGAAACCACAACGACGAAACATGCAGCTAACTTCTTCACTGTCCGGCAGCACGATACTAACGCCAGGGCTCCGGTGCAAATCTCTCTGCACCAGCGCAGTATTGCAAAAACAAATGAGGATAGCCAAATTGCGAAAAGAAGGACCCTAAACAGTATGTCCCTAGTAGCTTCTTGTTACTAGTAGTAAGGCCAGGAGCGCCCCTAGTAGCGTCCTTGCTCCTAGTAGCGATGCCCTTTGTTAATATTGCTCACAAAGCTGACGAAATTTCAATGCTACTGCAAACGCCACGGAAACTCCACAGTCTTTCGGTTCTTCTGTCTGAGATTTCCATACACGTGGTCAAAGGCGTTGTTGGAAAGAGAATGAACACACGCTGACAATTCGGTCAAGAATGCAACATGCCCGAGACTGTCAGTACAACAAACACGACAGACGACAGAGCCCAAGCTGCGTTCAAGTCACTCAGAGCAGCTGCGTTCAAGTCATTCATGGCTAGCTGCGTTCTGTCTCAACCCAACGCTTTGAGACTTCCGTCATTTTTGCGGTGAAACATCAGATTCGCTGTGCCTGGCTGTGCAACGGGAGTTGGCCTCGTGCCTTTGGTGCCTTGTCTCTCTCTCTCTCTCTCTCTCGCTCGCGTGGCCTCTTGTCTCCTTCATTTTTTGTTTATATTGTCTCTCTTGAAACGCCACACGAGCCCATCCAAATCTGGCCTAGTGCTCGAAGCCCTGCTTTTCTGCAAAGCTCCTGTTGCGTTTGTCACCATTTCCAACTTGGTCTCCACGTGTCCAAACGTTTAGATTCAGCAATTCGTTATATGTCCAAAGCATGCAACAATCGAAACGAGCATTCCAGTAAGATGAGGTAGCATGGGACTATTTTCCAGTCAGATTGCCCCTTTAAAGTTCACGACCTGAGACACAAAAAACAAATCTCTTACTAGTAAGATGAGGTAGCTGAGGTACCTCGGCCCAAGCGATCTCTCCTCAAACGGTTGAAGACGTCAACTTTCAGCTTTTCTGGAAGTGTAGCCCTTCCTTGCGGAGCAATGTCGTTGATCATTTCCTCCATCAGCAGAGCAGACACCATGCACACATTCCGTCTGATTCGTCGCCAAAGGAAGGTCACAAGAAAACTTCAAAATCGCAGACCTATTATGAGCAGGACGTGTGAACGTGTGAGTAGGACAAGTCAGTTAAAGCACTTCAGAGGCGCTATGTCATTAAATGGAACATGCAAGTCGACGAAAACAAAAAATACCTTTGCCTACGTCACAAGTTCCAAGCAACTGTCCAGCTTCATTATATAATGCAATGGCCTCCAACCTAAGAGAAAACAACTGTCCTTATTTGCCTTAATGCAATTAGATTTGGGAACACTATCTGTCACTGTCTGTGATGCTGTGTTTTGTCAAGCTCGAAGTTACATCAGGAAATGGAAGCAAAGCTTCTGAAATCACACTGTCATGGCTGAGTGTCATTGCCGCTGCGCTTACAAATCCGGGGAATGCAGCGCTTCAAGTTACACTACTGTTTCAAACCACAAGTCTCTGCTTGGGTGGAGGCCATTGCTATTAGGTTGGAAACAAAAATAAGTTCAGAAAAATAGGAAACAAAACCAAGAAACGAGAACAAAGAAGAAGGGTTTGGACAGAATATTTTGTCTCGACATGGTCCTCCAAGGAGACCTTCTCCACACCTTTTTCTTGAATGAATGCAACGCATTGCTTCTTCAACTCCTGCAAACGATCAAAGAGATTGGAAACGAGCCCCTTTGTGAGGCCATTGAATGCAAAGGCAAGAGAGTGCATTGTGTGTCTAACAAGGTTTAAGGTGTTGTGTAAAAAGAAGGCTATGCATCAGCAGCAGAAGCTGCACAAGGACAGGAAGAACTAAAGTAGTAGTGGTGATGGTGGTGGTGGTGGTAGTAGTAGTAGTAGGAGTAGCAGCAGCAGTAGCAGCAGCTAGTTGAACTAAGTCAAAAACATAGCTTCTCACCATTTGTATCAGCAGCCGTACAAACAGTTTTGGGACTACTGCAAGCACCCTCCTGAGAATTACTTCGTGCGTGTAAAGGGGTAGGCTGGAAGCATTTATGTAATTTCAACCTTCACTTGCTTAGTTAGCTGCACAGACAGCCGAGCTGCATTTTTTGGGCTTGCTGCTGGAGCAGATAAACCCTTCACCCTTCACACACCCACACCCAACTCTTTCAAGTTTCTGTCTGCTTTGTGGCTGTGAAGAAAACATACCGGAGTATGTGAGTACCAGGGTGGAGGCCATCGCTCTTAGGTTGGAGGCCATATCGCTAGTATGTGAGGAGTACCTTTTCGCGTCTGAAGGAACAAGGTCAAAGGCCGCAGGCAACTGCCTGGCTTGGATAACTGACTTGAATCGTTCACATTTCAGTATTCTTATTTACTAGGAGCAAGGACGCTACTAGGGGCTCCTGGCCTTACTACTAGGAGCAAGGACGCTACTAGGGGCTCCTGGCCTTACTACTAGGAGCAAGGACGCTACTAGGAGCAAGGACGCTACTAGGGGCTCCTGGCCTTACTATTAGGAGCAAGGACGCTACTAGGAGCTCCTGGCCTTACTACTAGGAGCAAGGACGCTGCTAGGGGCTCCTGGCCTTACTACTAGGAGCAAGGACGCTACTAGGGGCTCCTGGCCTTACTACTAGGAGCAAGAAGCTACTAGGAGCAAAGGGCATCGCTACTAGGAGCAAGACGTTCTTCAATGCATCCCGAAGTTGCATGGAATGGATTGAGCATCATGTTCCATCTGATATCGGAGGCCATTGCTATTTGGGTGGAGGCCGTTGCTACTAGGATGGAGGCCATCGCTAGTAGGTTGGAGGGCCATTGCATCATGTTCAATCTGATACATGGCACATTGCTGCATCTTCGTTCGGATCTGAATGACAATCTCCAGCGTACAAAGGTTCTTCATGCGTGCCTCTCGCCAGCCCGATTCATTCAGTTGAGTTGTGATATACCTGTCCAAGTGAGAACTCCACATCGTTTATCAGACGAAGGCAATGCAGCGACATGCCCTTCCAACTCATTGTCAGGGGTCACTCTTTCAATCGTTCTCTTTCCCCTGTCTCTTGCAACTTCATATCAAGCATGCTCTGCTCCTGGGCGATGGATTTGTTTGAGAGGCTCTGCATAGCAATCCCCCCAAACGTGAAAAGCTCCGAAAAATGATTAATTGCTGTTGAGACCCGCACTACTAGGTTGGAGGCCGTTCCTATTAGGTTGGAGGCCATCGCTTCTAGGTGGGAGGCCATCGCTAGTAGGTTGGAGGCCATTGCCATTAGGTTCGAAAAATGGCTACTGTTGCAACCCTGCTACTTACTTTGACGGTGTTCTGAGGCACGTGCCATCGCTTTGCGGGATCGCTCCACATCACCCATTTTCTGAGTGTCCCAGGCTGTTGTGGGAAGGAGATTGCTGCAAGCTTGATCCAACATGAAGATACGTCCCTCAAAATAGAGAGCAGAGTCGTCTATTGGCAGAGTCTATTGCCACTAAAACTATCTCACTCAGTCAGTTCAATTCAGCAAGGTGTTGCACACGTCTAAGCTTTGCTTCCTGTTCATTTTGGTCACATACCAAACTCTAAAACATGACAAGAAAAACGGCGCTTTCAGCCGTTTTCCAAAGCGGCGGTTTCAGCCGCTGGTTTCACCAGCCCTTCATGTTGATCAAAGGCCTCAGATCAAAGGCATCCTGAATTCGTCTCAACAACTCCCTTTCCTTCCGAAGGTGCCACCAGGACACTGCAAGTGATGCACCACCTTCCAAGGAACCCTTCTTATCTAGCCACACAAAATATGCTTTGCGTCTGCACACCACATCAGTTTTGAGTGTATCAGATGCAGAACCTTGTCTCTCTCTCTCTCTCTCTCTTAGGTTGGAGGCCATCGCTAGTAGGTTGGAGGCCATCGCTCTTAGGTTCCTGCTGGTCCTCTCTGAGCTAGTTAAACAAAGAACTCTGAAGCGCAGCTGGGAGATTTCATCCAGGGTCACCCTGACTGTCACCCTGACAGAGCGGTCTTTCATTGGTGACTGGGGAGCCGTGGGTGTACGTGGCGTGGTGTCAGTGTCACTGGGCGTGACCTTGTGTTCGTCTGGAGTTCCCCTTCCAAACCTCCTATCACACGAATACTTGTCCGTTTCCGTTAGACCTTTAGAATGCATATGAATCCTTTAGACCTTTTATGATTTGTTTCATTTTGTGTCTCTACCTAAATGTTTACCAAGTGAAAGATTGCCTTCTCTAGCCGTGAAAGCACATGCAGTGCAGAAACGAGCTCAGTACACGCGTGTGAAGGCAAAATACAGGAGATGATACTTCATCCTGAAGACTGGTGGCTCTATGGGTGTAGGAATTGAATTTTACAGTCCTTAATCCTTAATGTGTCTTTCCTCGTTTTAGACCTTTATATTGTGTGCTGTTATGTGTTGCTTTCTGGGGGCTGGGCCAAACGTTGGTAGGTAAGAACCTATTAACCACTTCAAAAAGTGTTTCGTCCACGGCCAAGTTGTTCTGCTGCTTGGAAACTTACTTTGGTAGCTGGTGGACCAAAAACAAACATTCCAAGTCGCTAATTTATTTGGCAGTGGGGGTGTTGTAGCAGTTGCATCACCTGCATCTCTACAACTGTATGATGATGATGATGATGATGATGATGATGATGATGATGATGATGATCATGATCATGATCATGATGATGATGATGAGGAGGATGAGGAGGACGACGACGACGACGATGATGATCATGATGAATGTACTAGCGATTTACTGATGATAATGATGATAATTTTGATGGTATTGATGATGATTACAATGTGACGATGATTGTGATGATGACGACGGTGGTTGGACAGTTGAAGTTGGTAGCCGTTCTTTGAGAAAAACCCTTCGCAGGTGCTGCTTTCAATGGAGGTGATCAAGCAACTAGCAAATTGCAACAACAGCATTCCAAGGAAAAGTCAGCCGTATCAAGACCTCCACCAAAGTCGCTTGATTCTGCATTACAGTGTTCAAGTCCTTCGCAAAGGGCTCTGAGAAGAAAATTGATTTTAAAACGGACCGCAAAAGTTATTGATAACCTGTTGGGTTGCGCTACTAGTAGCTCCTGGCATTACTACTAGGAACAAAAAGCTACTAGTAACAAGTGCATCCTGAAGTGGCCTTTTGCATGACGTGAAATGTTACTCGAATTCTTGCCGGTCCTTGTAGGCCATGGGAGCCTAATAAATGAGAACTAAAGAGTCCAAGAGCATAGGCCACATGACGGATCAAAACCCGTCAACTTTCGCAGTTCACCATCAAAATACCGTTCATCGATCATCATCCCTGCGAGTTACTGACACATTGACGAGCAATTTCCACTACAAAGGCCTCATCGCGAACTTTGTCTGCGAAGTCTTCATCCCAAACCTCACATTTCGATCCCACAAAATTGGCAAAACCAACAAGTATTCCGCTGCTGAAGGCTACTAGTGGCAAGAAGCTACTAGGAACAAGTCGTCTTTAGATGGCAATACGTCGCTGTGGTGAGACACGGCTCCAAGAGCAGTCAGGGCTCAACACAAAGCAAAAAGAATTGCGCTGAGCTCTCAGACGATGCCATGCGAACGCATGTGTTGGGCAAAGGTTCTTGAGTCAATATTCCTTGCGTTTGAACAAGCAAAGCACGCTACTAGGGGCTCCTGGCATCGCTACTAGGGAAGAATGGGGAGCGCGAAACACTGAGGATTGGTCTTGAAGGCTGCTGCCCTTGACATAGATCGACCAGCTCCATGGGAGCACGACCTCAATACCCAATAACAATAACACCTATCTGAGTTTCAACTGAGAGCATGTGGCCTGAACATGTGGACCAAAACACGCGAACAAAACATCCAACTAATGTTGAGAGGCTGCAACTCTTGATGTCAAATTGTAGACTTGGTTCAGATGAGTTTTCACAGACTTGTTTTGTGAATAAAGTCTTCAATGTATATTGCTGTGATAAAGTGCAGCGTTAGTCATTGAATGTATTGTGTTGGCGTTGAAAGCAGTCCCTTTCTTTCCATCCTGAGGCTTCAACTGCCAAGACTCGGAGTTGCCCTTGCCACGGACGATGTATGACCCAGTCCCCATGCCTTGGTGCCGTCCGTTTCAGACAGACCTGAGAGACCTTTAAGCGTCAGCATGTAGCTAAGGTCATCATGTTCTGCTTGTGAGGAGTCAGAGGTACTCAAGTTGGAAACGAAAAATGCATTTGAAAGAACAAGTAATTCTGATAAGATAAGCTACTATATAGTAGCAAGGGCATCGCTACTAGTAGCTAGAAGAATACCATTTGGCTACTAGGTTAGATCATCCGTACTTTGGAAAGGCGCTTCGGCTCTGAGTCTGAGAAAAGGCACTTCCTGGGATGATGCCCATTTGTCCGGCTTTCGCTGAGGTCCTGAGCCCAGAGCTCTTGCTTTCTGTTTAAAAAGAAGATGAAGTTGAATAAGGCCCCCTTTAATGGAGCCTCTTATCTTCCTGTTTCTTGTTCTCTTCTTTAGGCCAAGTCTTGGACGCCCCTTTTCGCGTCACCCATAGCTTCTCCTCGTTCCACCTGATCCAAATCAGGTCCTTGCCCGAAAGTGGCCTCCAACCTCATAGCAATGGCCTCCAACCTAGAAGCGATGGCCTCCCCCCTAGTAGCGAGGGCCTCCAACCGAAAGTCTACTTCAATGTCGCCCGTGGCCTCTTGGTCTGAGTGTCAAAGTACCTCGCCAAGAGTGTACTATTTGACAATCAGTTTTTACGTTTTTACTTTGCACCTGCAATCTTCACATTCGCAGTAATTATGATGAATATTCACCTCGATGGACCAAAAAACAATCAATGCGACCAAATTCATTTCAAACGTGCAAGCGTATTGTGTGTCACACCATTTTCTCCCACAGAGCTTCACGGCCAGTCTCTTTTCTTACAACCTCAATTCCAAGGACAAGCAATCGAAACAGGTTGTGAAAAGCACTTCTGCAAAGGTTTGGATCATCACTTCAGCAAATGTATCCATCATGAAGCGCCTTGGATGCGGAGCAACATGCGGAGCTGAAAAGGAAGGCAATGGAATCCAAGAAACAAGGAATGCAATGGAACAAGGAACAAGAAGTGAAGATTGGGCTTTTAGGCTAGGACCGGTTCTCCCAAGCATATGCTTGACAGAACGTCATGTCTTTCAAATATTGCTGTCCTTACACACTCGAGATACCAGCAAAGTTGGAAAGTATGATCACCATCTGAGAAGAAGACCCTGCTCTGATTGAATCCTCTCAAGGTGCAAAGATGCTATCTTCTCATGCTTGAAAAAAAGTGTAAAACTTTGGCTCCTCAGATATGCTAGGGATTCTCGGTCTTTGCCACACCTATCAATAAGCTGGAACTTGTCACAGCAGAATTTCTAATTTTTGTTCAAGCTTTCCAAGAGAAAGCCAAGACGCGACTAGTAGCTCCTGGCCTTACTACTAGGAGCAAGGATGCTACTAACCATGGAAGCACGCTGCGAAACTATGGCCATGGCTGTTTGGCAGCCAGCTCATCATAGTGCTGGGCGGTGACCTCAAGGACTGCATGGCATGAAGGGATTCGAAACTAGAAGGTCAAACCTTCTCCTACATTGTACATCAATTCCAGAAAAAGTGTGTCGACCCGACTTGCATGGATTGAAACTTTCCATTTTTCCAGGAACAGGTGTGGGATTACGCCTTTTCGGTGTGACCACGCATTGTATAGATTGCCGGCAAACACCAAAATGATTGCTCATGCCGCAAAAGCTCTTGGCTGAGTCTTAAAGGAGGATAAAGACGATAAATGCGGCAAGTGGGACCAAAACCTGTTTGCCCAACACCTTGCAAAGCTTTTACAATTTTCAGCCCAGCTTTAACGAAACGTCCACTTTTGCGGCCAGCAGGCTGCTCAAAAGCGGCCAGCAAAGCCTGTTGCTAATGCTCCCTTCTAGGCATCAACACACGTACCGCCACTTCTTGAATCAAACTGGAAAAGCATCACTTTGAAGACCATCAATAGAAACAAGAAGCTAGTAGTAACAAGTGCCACGCTAGTAGTAACAAGTGCCTTACTAGTAGTAACAAGAAGCTATTAGAAACAACTCTCAAGTGATCGTGGATGATTCTTCATCAAAGGCATCATAACATCGCCCCATGCAAACTCCCATCCGTTTGTGCATGAGAAACTTGTGCAAAAACAATCTGAAGTTGCACAAATGCCGGAAGCGTTGCTATTAGGTTGGAGGCCATTGCTATTAGGCTTCATAGCTACTCTAAAAAAGTAGAAAGCGAACAAGTTCCGGAAGCCCAGTTGGGGCTCAGTTGAATCCGATCCAAAAGTTTGGGGAATCTGAGCAGGAAGTTGTGGAATCCTAACTGAGAAATCCAGGGAAGTCAAGTAAGAGCAACAAAAGCCAAGAGTACAAATGCTTCGGTGGTGCAAATTTGTGATGGTGTATACCTCCTTAAACACAAATCGCAAACGGAGACAGCAAAACCAACAGACTGTTTCTCGGCACCTGACATTGCCAATGTTTCGAGACCCACTGTGCAGCATCATCCAAACATGGTCCTGGAAGCGAATGCACAGTTTTGACAACGGGAATGAACAAAATCTTTTTCTTTGACATATCCTTCCTGTATCAAAAGCAAGAATATCCTCTTTTGTTTTACATCTCTGCGTGTCTCTCTCTCTCTCCCTCTCCCTCTCCCTCTCTCTCTGATTTGTTTTCTCCTCTTCGTCGTAGACAAGTTCCACGAAATGATTGCCACCGCCAAGAGTGCCGAGCTGCTTGGTATGCCGATGGCTGAGAGTGTCCCTCAATACAAATCCCAATTTTAGGGCAAACCGGGCAAAGTGCCTTCGGCACTCCTATGCCGATGCCTGATCCAGCGCGTGGGCAAATGTGTTGAGATTAACTTCTTCATGGTGGCCTCGAGACAACAGGACAACTTCTGGGAGCCCATCAAAGCGAATTGCCTTCGCCCTTGCCTCCATTGCAGCTGAGCTCCGGCCATGGGATTCGAAGCCAGTTGGGATGGAGCTTCTGCGATCAGGTGATGTTTAGGTGGTAGGCCGTGATCAGAGCAAGTAATAGCTGGCAGTAAGGAGCAAGTAGGAGACCGACAGGAATCTACTACGGACGCAAAAGGGTTCAGGCGAAGCTTGCCCTGAAGGTGGGAGGAAGCTCCCTTAAAGAGCCCCTCGCCAATGTGGTTCCACTTGAAATTAACTTTCTTCGTCTATGCTGATATTAACTAAAAGCAATGGCCTCCCACCTAGAAGCGATGGTCTCCAACCTAATAGAAGGCCAACCTACTAGCGATGGCCTCCAACCTAGTAGAAATGGCCTCCACCCTAGCGACAAAACTTAACTTTCTTTGTCTAAGCTGAAATTAGCTCCAGAGCTTGCTCGTTGTTCTGTTCTCCAAACAAGCTTGATGGAACACCGAAAAAGGATGTATCATGCAGGCTCAGAGGGTCAGTCTCCACTGTCCTGCCTTAGGCCTCGCTGAATGTGCACCAGGTTCTTCTCCGAAACATCCTCCGGAATCTGTCAGAAACGTTCGGGCAAAAGCACGAAGGCGACAAAGGAGTGTGCCATTCTATGTTGAAGTTAGGGTGGAGGCCATCACTAGTAGGTGGGAGGCCATCGCTCTTAGGTGGGAGACCATCACTAATAGGATACTTCAGCTGTCCTTTCTTCTCAAGCCTTGGACCTAACAGCGCAAGAGACTACAGACTGCAACCAAAAGTAACCAAAGCATTGATTCTCATTCTTAAGCCCCATGCAGGGACAGCGCCTCAAAACAAGAGGCTCTCCTGGGGTCTTCAACATTTCAGCAACCAAGGCCGCAGCACATCCCACAACCAATATCTACTCCAACCTAAGAGCAATGGCCTCCAACCTTCTAGCGATGGCCTCCACCCTAGTAGCGATAAAGTGAACCGTCAAACTAAAAAATGCATCATCGCAACAAGGAAAACTGCACTTTCTTCGACCGAGCTGCTGCATTGGGGCAAACATAGTCGCGAGAAGCAAAGACTGAACCAATTGTGGCTCCTTTGCCAAGATGCACATCTGGCCTGCTACGCTGGACATTCTTGTCAAATCAAGAGAACCAATTGTCGAAAGAATTACGAACGACATACAAAAACAAATCCACAGGCAAACAACAATTGGAACACTTTTTTTCTCAGCCCAATACATGGCAGCCACAAATCCAACTGCAATTCCACTACCTTGGTGCAACTTGTGCTCCCTGTGTCACTTGTTTGATCTTCCTGAGCATGGTGCTGGAAAGGTTGATGAGTTGTTGCTTTGTGCCAAAGTCAATGTCGTCGGTATAAAGATGGATTGGTCTGAGCTTCGAAACTGGATAAAGGAACAAGGACGCTACTAGGGGCTCCTGGCATCGCTACTAGGAACAAGAAGCTACTAGGGGCTCCTGGCATCGCTACTAGTAACAAGTGCCTTACTAGTAGTAACAAGAAGCTACTAGGGGTTCCTGGCATCGCTACTAGGAACAAGAAGCTACTGGGGCCTCCTGGCATCGCTTCTAGTAACAAGTGCCTTACTAGTAGTAACAAGAAGCTACTAGGGGCT